GAATTTATGTCAATTGCCATTCAAAATTGAGAAACTATGAATAAAGATTTAAGAATTAAGCTTATAAGATTTAATGATATATGATCAATACCTTTTGAATTTGATTCAGAACCTTCTAAATCTAAAAGATATTATGTGTGAAATTGGAACAATCAGAATAAAGATAAACTGATTAAAAATTATAAAAAATAAGTTCTAAGATGACAAATTGAGAAGAAAAGATAGTTTCAATATAGAAATTTTATGATTGCAATTACAAAAAATGAATATCTTAATTATAGATTTCAATGATATTTATCTTTATATTTAAAAATATATTTATGCAATTTATAAATATATTTTATTGAACATATCAAATAAATAATATAAAATAACAACAAATAAATAATATATAAACTAAACTAAATTATCAACTATTTGTTCATTATAATTTCCAATTCTTTTATTGACTATTTTCTTGAATTCGATAGTTGCTTCTTTGATATTTTTATATCTTTTTTCAAAAAATGATTTTACTTTATACTTTTTATTTTTATAGCAACTAAATTTCTAAGATCATTTATAATATATAATTCTATTATATCTTGTTTTGTTTATTTTATGTAATTTACAATTTTTACTATTAATTCCATTAGATCTGTCTCTTAAATTATATTGTCTATTGTCAAGACTATTTCTATTAATATGATTAACTATTTTTCCTTCAGAATGAAATATTGATGAAAATAAATTATATTATTTGTTTTAGTATCTCAACTTTTTATATAATATATATTTTGATATTTATGAAGAATTTTATAATTTTTAATATTACATATTATAGTTTTATCTTGAGTAAGTTTAATTTCAAGATATGTAATACCTTTTTTATTTTTAATTATATAAATTTAATTAGATATATAATTTTTTTTATAAAATTCAGTTTTTCATTCTTCAAATCAATCTTTTATAATTTTTATTTTTATATAATTTAATATTTGATTGATTATATTTATAAATATATAAGGGTACTTATTTTTGTTTTTAAATAGATTTATTTGGATCATCACTGATTTAAGAATTCAAGAAGTACTCTTGAATTTAGTCTTACTAGTGATGTAATGTGGAAAAAAAAATTTATTTATTGATATAGATATTCTAAAGTTCTCCTATTTAATTAAGGAACACTATTTGTTAATGAGTTAATAAATGCATTATATAAATTAATAACTATTCATAATTGACTTTCAGCTATTAACTATCTATTGTCAACCTATTCAATTTACCTTTGAGAAATCAAATCGAGACAGAGAATTAGTGCAGGGAAATAACAAGTTAGACTTCTAACGTGATATGCAAAAGTTTCTAATTTGAATAATAATAAATAAAGAGGTTTATCACTGGTGATTTAAGTAGGAGAGGTAGAACAATAATTTCAGATTAAAGATAATTTTATTGTTGTATAAATCCTAAGGAGTCTTCAGAGGAAGAATTTTCTTCTTTAAATACATAATTGAGTTATATGATATTTGAGAATATAAACTAAGATAAATAATAGTAATAATTATACTTCAAAAATAATAGTTTTATGTGACAAGTTAGAACTACAGAATATTTTAGAGTACTTTATACTAAGTTTGTTAATAGCAAAATCAATTATCAATGTTCTAGAATTATTCTGAAAGTTCTTTACTTTCAGGTGATCAAAAGGATTGTAATATATTGATCTGAGGTACTAGGATCATTCTGGGTACTAGGGAGATCATATGGTGAAATTTTATAGTTCAACACTATAAACAAATAGATTAACTGAATAATTCAACAAAACTCTCTATAATACTTTAATTAAATATACAGTATAAATGATTATTGTAATATATTGAATACTTTTCTAGACTCAGCATTATTTGTTTATCACTTTATTCAAAATAATATTACTAAGTATTTGCTATTCAAACTATTTTATAATCACGAGACAAGATTATACATTAATCTTCAGAATATTAAACAGGAATCGAGTGATATTTTGAATTAATAATTACAATAATATATTGAATTTATTATTAGTAATTTTAGTAATTTAAGGTTTAATACACAATAAAATATTGAAAAAGTATAGGATAAACAAAAACTATATCATTATTAGAGAATTAAAGTTTCAAAATTCAATATAGAAGACAAAGTTTTATTATATTAATCAATAAAAGTAAAAATATATAATATAGTATTAAATTTAGAAAAAAATAAATAGGATTATATTATATTTTTAATATTATCATATCAGTAGTATATAAATTAAAAAACATGAAAAATAAGAATAAATAGTTGTTTAATTTTTAATAAATGATTAATAAACTTTTAATGAATAATTTAATAAATAGTTGCTAAATTTTTAACAAATAGTTAATGAATTTTAATAAATAGTTTTAATAAATAGTTGTTAAATTTTTAATAAATAGTTGATAAATTTTTGATAAATTATTAATAAATTAATGTCAATTTTTATTGAATCACTAATAAATAATTTTGTGATAAACTTTTAATGAAATTTTACTAAATAGTTAATAAATTATTTGATGAATTGGTAATGAATTTTTGATGAATTATTAATATATCAATTTTTATAATATTTATAGCTAAATTATATAGTTGCTAACTTAATTATGTCATTTTTTTGCTAAATTATTTATTTTTTGCCAAATATTATATGAGTGGCAGCATGTTAAATAATTTTTTTTGACTAATGTTAACTAGACTTGTTAGTATTATGTGAGTAAACAAAGATAGCTAAAAATCAAATGATTAAATATATAGTTATTAATAATAAGTTTTTATTAATTAGTATTGAGTTTATAAATTTTATTATATTGTTAAACTAATGCAGCTACTGTACATATGTATTCAATAAGATTAAACACTTTTTAAAACTTTTAATATTATTTATTTAGACCATAAAAGTAAATATATTGTTTTTTTGTTATTACTTGTAATATTAAATAAATTCTTATCAATTAATTTTAAATTAAATAAAGTATTAATTAATTAAAAGAGTGAAGTTTCTAAAGTTTCTCAGGACAAAAGAATTATGAGGCATTTATGATAAATTAAATTAAAAACTTTTTTTATGTAATTTTTGTGATAATATAATTATAAATTTCAATTTTTGATTAATAGAAGATTAAAAATTCTATCTTTTTATAGTTTAATTTATTTTTTATTCTTGATTTAGATAATTGGATACAACTTTATAAAATAATCAGTAAACTTGATCAAAAAAGTAAATTTTTGATTTTGTCTTTAAGTGGTATTAAACTATAGATCTTGTAATTGCAATCTAAAATATTATTACTGTATTATTAATTTATGGATTATTTTTTATTTTAAATTAATATTTTATAATAAAATATTAATTAATAATTAATAAAACTTTAAACATATAATCATAATAATCTTGTAAAAATATTGAAATTTTATTTAAATTTAACAATTGTTTATTAAATATAATAAAAAATATTTATTCAAAGATTTTTGTATCAAATTGTATTTTGTAAAAAGTAATCAATTATTATTATTATTATTTTATTAAGTTGGTTCAGCCTTACTTTATTTGGATTAAGTAGAGTATACATGTATTTATGCTAGTACTATCAAAGTTAATCAAGTAAGTTTGATAAAAAAGGGAATTTTACTTCGCGATTTGTTACCACCCCTATCGGAAAGTTAACTGGTTAAGGCTGAACTAATTTTATACAAAATTTTGAAAATATCTAATGAGTATATAATGTTTTTATGTATTTACCTATGTAATTGTTGACCAGATTGATTAATTGATCAAGTTTTTGTTTGAAGAGGATAAAAGTAATCAATTATTATTACATATATTATTAATTTAATTTAATAAGTTACTGCAAAAAAATAAAAAAAATAAATATCACAATGTTACTTTACTTTTTTAATTAAATTAATTTGTGTTTTATCTTCATAAAGATAATAGATCTCAATAAATTAAAACAATAAAATTTATAAACTATATTATATAAAAAAAATATCATAAGAATATCTTTATGGAATTAAAAAAAAAGTTTTAAAAAATATAAGATTTTAAAAAAGTTAGATAAAATTATATTTCATTTTATTTCATTTTTTTAATAATATAACTATATTTTTGAGTATATTTTTTTATAAATGCAATAATCTATTAACTATAATATGTAACGGACTAAGGGTTTTTACTCAAAGACACTATAGAGTGAAATATTATTCTCAAGATTAAACTTAGAGGCTTTTATGCTTATAACGAGTTAGTTAGATTAGAATAATAGTTTGGCTGTAGTATGTACCATGCTGCTTGAATGAAAATGTACTTATGTTTTCAAAATGATGATCTAGCCTGGCTACGGGTACTCAAAAAAAATGATAATAATTAACTATAATATGTAAACCAAAATAATCTCAACTCAAAATTCATTATAAAGTAACAAATTGTTCTCAACATCAAATTTAAGATTCTTTATAAAAAATTCCGAATATACTAAATATACATTTTTTTTATGTTATAAAAATAGGCTAAATTTTAAACCTTTAAGCCGTGTGATGTTACGTGTTAATATTTTTGAAGTGCAATAGCTACGTATAGTAATAAATCAATCCTCGTGATCTAACAATACACATTCTTGTTTATTAACAATAAAATGTACAATCTATTTGATTAAATTTGATCATTTTTATGCAGGCGTCAAAATGGTAGATATCCATACATGTGATCATAATTTGCAGTAAATTCCTTTAAAGTGCTTGTTGAGGACAAGCCTTTCATAACAGCCTTGGACAAATTCTAATTTTATTGTATATATTTACATAGTGATATTGAGTATTTATCTTATTAACACCACGAACTTATTGTATATTAAAAATTGACTATGTAAGAAAAATCTTCATGAGCTTATGTATCATAAAAATCATAACTTCTTTCTAAAAAAAAAAAAAAACCAAACTCCACAATCGAGATCGAAGTGGTTTAATCAAGGAAAATAATTAAAATGATGATTATAGTTAACGGACTGATTTGGGAGTTCATACGATTGGGATTGTATATCCGACATTAAATATTCATGGATCAAATGTAAATTAGTACTATATTGATAAAAATTGGGATCCGGGTTCAAGTCCGGAGTAACGAAATTTGGCGCCAAGGTGTTTTCTAGATTGTACTCAAAAAATTCTTGCGGAAAAATTTGAGTTGCTTCGGGAGCGTAGAAACATGCGACACTGTCACTGGTCGGAGGATGATCAAAAGGCGTAACTTGATCTGGAATTCCCATTTCGATAGGTGACGTATTGGGTACAGGGGAATCCATAGGAGAAAACGAGGTTTCGGTGTTAAAATTCGGGCTTTGTGAAGTGACGTGAAGCCAAGTTGCACGATGTATTTTATTCGATCGTTTTTTTTGTGGTATTTTGTTGGAATATAACCGCAAATGACGGCTTTTCGCTTCACACGCAAGACGTTTATATTCATTTTTGACCTCTTCCGACTCTTTCTTCCAAGAAGCCGAGGCCAAAGATGAGGTCGTGGTCATGGACAGATAATATCCGTTGTTATGTAGTTCGGATACGAAAGCTTTTCTATATATCATGAAGGCGTTAGGAGAACGCGAAGGCACTTCTCCATTCTTTTTGTTCGATACGAGATCTGACAGAGATATGTTAGGGGGGAAATGAGGCTTAACTAAAGCAGCACCAGGCAAGATCTCATTATCATCGAAACAGGTTTTCATCATTTTTTTTTTTTCTTAATTATTTATTACAAAAATGATCCAGGACATTTTTATGATGCTGGGAGGCTTAAGGGGGTTTATATGCGAAAATTTCTTATAGGCAATATTTCACTTGTTGTCTTTTTTTTTTCACAAAGACAAGATCTGGAGAGAATTAATAAAATCGGTAACAAGTGCTTTAAAGACAAAATAAATTATAAGTACACAAATTTTATGTTCCAATATGACGGAATTGCTTACATTGGCGACGCACTCTTTAATGTATATATGCGATAACCCTGAATTACTTCATGGTGTTTGTTTTTTGTGTCACAAAACAGAAAGAAATAATTGTTTCTTTCAAAATTGAATAAAAAAAAAATATCTTTGATTCCTTCATCTCAGCCGTGGCTTAAATTATGTAATCCGATTTTGTCCCTAAATGTCAGAGTTCTAGATCTCATTGGTTTATTTATTTTCGCATAAATTTATAGAGTGCATCAAATATAAGCACGACTTAGGATCGCCGTCATATTTATAAATACTTTCTCAGGACTTTCTCACACCACATCTATGCACATTTATTTACAATTTACTCAGGGGGATGTAGTTTCACAAATATCCCCTTTGGAAAAAAATAATAATATCGATACTGGTCCCAGATACATAGTTTTTATTTTTATTAGGAGACACTATAATCTCTAATTATATACTGTACATAGTATCAATTATTGTGTCGTGTACAATATATACTGTAATGTCATTTACGACAATTAGAACTAAATTTTATATATAAATTTTCTTTGAAAACAGCTCGACAGTGTTTACACGCTTAGCAGGGCTAATATTTAGGTTTAAAATTTAATTTGTGATCTATTTTCGTCGCCTAAAGAACCTTGTATTGGAAACAATGGAAACGCTAATCAGTGGCCCAAGAACTTGAAATTCCAGACTACTTTCTGATCAACTCACGTCGAATGAAAAACTCTTCTTTGTGAAAATAATGAATGTACAAAGAGGATGTTAAGTTTCCTTTTCATTGTAACTTTGCATATTTTCACTGGTTCGTGACAAATTTTCTCGAATTGCATATTTTTTATTTCGTACTCAAATATAGATATGGGTAGATGCCCTCCAATGATAAGCATATTGCTTCAGATCTATGGACTTTAAATTTGGAATGTCGAACCAATCAAGCCGATAAATTGAGACAATACTAATGTACCCGTATCCCGTACGAGTTCACAGATTCTATGGTCACAGTATACCGCGAATAAATAACATTTCAAACTAACCAACACCTCAAAGTTTAGATTATTTTCACCTGTGAATTTGTTATTTGCATATGGTCACACTGTACCCGCGAACTAGCAATCTCCCTGAATGGATAGATAATGCTCAAAAAATGGATTAAATGATGTGTATTACAAACAGCCAAATGTTTATTAAATCAATTTACATTATACCTGGATCTAAGCTGTTTAAATAAAACACGTATTTACTGTATACTGTATGCAGCAATGATAACAATATACAGTAGTAATATAATAATATAATCATAACATGTTCATAGTGATAATAATATTAATAATAAAGAATTTAAAGTAAATTTTTTCTTATGTGTATTATTATTATAAAATAATTTACAAAATAATTAGGGCGCGATATTTAGTAGAATGACTATATTTGCTAAAAACGTCTTTAAAATTTTTTTGTGTTATCTGAGAAGAAAAAAACAATCGTAAATACTGTAATTGTGAAATAATCTGTTTTACGAAAACCTTAAATGTTAAGATAGATGGTAGTTATATTGCAATAAAATTTTAATTTTTTATTAACTTTGAAAAAAATAAATTAACAGAAAGCAATATTCAATAATGAATTATAAATCACAAATTGATAAATTTTGGAAGATCTTTTTTTAAAAAAAAATTAATTGATTTAGTATTCATTATACTAACGAAACAAATTTTTAGATTTAATATGCAGAACTGAATCAATAAAGTCTATTCAACTGGATACATATATGTGAATATATATATTTAATACAATCTGTGATTGGCTTTTGTTTTTTTATTAATTATATCTATTAAAATAGGTGAATAAAAAAAGTGATTGAATAGCAAAATAAGTAAATTGAAAAAAATGAAAGGATGGGTAGATAACAACAGCAATAATAACAAATATAGTAAAAATAATATTGATATGTTCATTTTAACACAATCCAAATTTGAATTATATTATTTTACTAATTAATTATATTTATTAAAATAGTTCAATCAAAAGGAAAAATAAGGACAAGTAATAATAATGATGATAATAAATATAGTGAAAAAAATATAAATATATTCAATTTAACATAATCTAAGTTTGATTTATATTACTTTGTTAATTCTATTTGTTAAAATAAATAAATTGAAAAAAGAGAAAAGATAGATAAAGAGTAACAAAGATGATAGTGAATATAGTAAAAATAATATAAATATATTCAATTTAATATAATTTGAGTTCAGTTTATATTGCTTTGTTAATTCTATTTGCTAAAATAGATAAATCAAAAAAAAAAAGGAAGGCAGGTAGCAATTGTGACAATAACGAATATAGTGAAGACAATATAAATATATTCAATTTAATATAATCTGAATTTAACTTATTTTACTTTGTTAATTTTATTTGCTAAAATAAATAAATTGAAAAAAAAGAAAGAATAGATAAGTAGCAATAATAATGATAGCAAATATAGTGAAAATAATATAAGTACATTCAATTTAACAAAACTTGCATTTGATTTATAATATCTTATTAATTCTTATCAATACTATTCAAAAAAATTAAAAAGGAAAAAAACAAATAAATAGTAATAATAATAATAGCAAAAATAATAATAGTGAAATTGAGATACTTTTAAAAAATATTAATATAAATATATTCTATGTATTTAATCTAATTTTGAATTATATTATTTTATTAATCTATTATTGAATTAGGCAATCCAAAAAAAAGAAAAAAGAAAATTATTATTATTATTATTATTATTATTATTTTTTTTTTTTTTTAACCCGCAATCATACCACAATGGCTTGTCTTTATTGAAAAATTGAAGAAACTCTACAATATTTTACAGACTTTCACAAAGTGACTAATTCGTCTTCATACAAAAGTACTCTAAGTCAGATTTTGGAGACAATATTACACTTCCCCAGTAGATTGGT